GCCCCTCCTGGGGTCGCTGGGGCCATGCGGGGTGGGTTTGGGAGAGTGGAGCGTCCTCCTCTTCTCTGGCCTGCCGCCGCCTGTCTGCCGCAGTGTTTGCAGACTTCCTGTGGCGTGGAGACGGGCTCGGGAACTGGGCGCTAGGGCGGGGAGGCCGGGAGTCGCCTCGCCTCTTTAGATGGGTAGGGATGCGGGGCCCGTTGCACCCCGAGCCAGAAGGCTCGGGCCCTACCGCCGCTGCCCGGTAGCTGCCTGCGGAGGAGATGGCAGAGTCCGTTGCTGACCGTGCGGGAATGGCGGGGCTGCTGTAGCGCCTGTGGGGTGGCCGCGGCAGGCCACCACCAGCCTAGGTGGCTGAAGAGAAGAGGTGGCGGTGCTAAGTGACTTTTGGGGAGCCTCTTAGTTTATTTCTGGTTGTTAGCAGTTGGTGAGGCTTTTGGATATACAAGAAGGCCGAGGACACTAATAAGATACTTTTCTGGCCTTTGAAGTGGCCGACTTGTCCCCATTTCACGTGGTAAGGAATCCAGGACAAAACAGTCTACATTCTTTTTTAGTGGCTCCATGTCCCTTCGCATTTCTGAATCTGGCGTTAAGTGATGCAGATATTTTTAGTCGTCTATTGGAAAAGACTACCGCTAAAGGGAAGACAGAAAAATTTGAACATGTGCTAAAGTGCATTTTGTAGAGAAACGAATGTCACACTTGGGAAGGGAGACTTAGATGCAGTGGTGATGATTCTGAGGTAGTGAACTAACTTACTCTGAGAATGCTGCTGTTCCCAGACTTTTATTTTTTTACTTTTTGTTTTGTTGAGACCCAGGCTGTAGTGCAGTGGCGCCATCTCAGTTTACTGCAACCTGCGCCTCCCCGGTTCAAGCGATTGATTCTCCTGCCTCAGCTTCCTGAGTAGCTGGGATAACAAGCACACCCTAGCACACCCGGCTAATTTCTTGTATTTTTTTTGTAGAGACAGGGTTTCGCCATGTTGGCCAGGCTGGTCTCAAACTCCAGACCTCAGGTGATCCTCTTGCCTCGGCCTCCCAAAGTGCTGTGATTAACGGCGTGAGCCCCTGCGCCTGGCCGTAGACTTTTAAAGAAGAGCAAAGTTGCATGTCTTGCTTTTTTAGGGAGTGAATACAATGTGTGACAAAACCAGATACTGATTTTAAGGTCAGCCCGTGTTCACTGGCATTTTGAAGGCCATTTATTATGAATTGGATGATAAACTATCAACATTTGATAGTAATTTCTGTTTTCCAGTATAGAAAATTTTCATTGAAATCTTAAATTTTCCTTCCTAGCAGTACACCTGAATAAAGTTTTGGGGCACTGACGCTGTGTTTTGGATACCTATGCCGTGTTTTTGATACCTATGCCGTGTTTTTTGACTGATAGAACATTTATAGTCAGACACACTTTACAAATTCTTTTTTTTGGAGACAGGGTCTCACTTTGTTACTCAGACTGGCATGCAGGATGCTATTACAGCTCACTGCAGCGTTGACCTCTCAAGCCATCTTCCCACTTCAGCCTCCCCAGTAGCTGGGACCACAGGCCAGGACAGCCATGTCGGGCTAATTTTGCATTTTTGGTAGAGATGGGGTTTCACCACGTCACCCAGGTTGGTCTCGACTTTTTTTTTTTTGAGATGGAGTTTCGCTCTTGTTGCTCAGGCCGGAGTGCAATGGTGCCATCTCGGCTCACTGCAACCTCTGTCTCCCAGGTTCAAGTGATTCTCCTATCTCAGCCTCCCGAATAGTTGGGATTGCAGGCATGGACCACCATGTCCAGCTAATTTTTTTATTTTTTTTGTAGAGATGGGGTTTCTCCATGTTGGTCAGGCTGGTCTTGAACCCCGGATCTCAGGGTGATCTGCCCGCCTTGGCCTTCCAAAGTGCTGGGATTACAGGCGCGAGTCACTGCGCCTGGCCTAGTCTTGAACTTTTGAACTCAAGGGATCTGCCCGCCTTGGTCTCATAAAGTGCTGGGATTACAGGCATGAGCTGCCTTGCCTGGTCCTACAAATGTTTAATAGGAAATAGAAGTGTAGCTTTTGGAGAAGTTTAACTAGTTGGAGTTTTAAAAAGTTATACTGAATTTGTGTTCTGCCGTGATCATACAGGGGGTAGTACTCTGCTTTGTGAATTTATATTCTCTCTTTCTTTATATTTTTTTGAGGCAGAGACTCCCTCTGTTGCCCAGGCTGGAATGCAATGGGGCAGTCTTGGCTCACTGCAGCCTCTACCCCCCAGGTTCAGGTGATTCTCCTGCGTCAGCCTCCTGATTAGCTGGGACTACAGGCACCGCCACTACACCTGGCTAATTTTTTTTTTTTTGAGATGGAGTTTTGGTCTTGTTGTCCAGGCTGGAGTGCAGTGGCGTGATCTCGGCTCAGTGAAACCTTCGCCTCCCGAGTTCAACTGATTCTCCTGCCTCAGCCTCCCAAGTAATTGGGATTACGGACGCCTACCACCATGCCCAGCTAATTTTTAAAAAATTTTTAGTAGAGACGGGGTTTCACCGTGTTGGCCAGGCTGGTCTCGAACTCCTGACCTCAGGTGATCTGCCTGCCTTGGCCTCCCAAAGTGCTGGGATTACAGGCATGAGCCACCGTGCTCGACCTGAATTTATATTCTTTAAATGCTTTCCAATATTTAAGATATTTTCAGATTTTTGCCTAGCAAGCTCATACAAAAGTCTGTTTGGTTATTAGTGTTTTTAGAATTTTGGAAAATTTTCAGTTTTGAGCTAATTATTAACTTTGAAAACCAATTTTTTTTTTTTTTTGAGAAGGAGTCTCACTCTGTCACCCAGACTGGAGTGCAGTGGCCGGGTCTCGGCTCACTGCAAGCTCCGCCTCCTGGGTTCA